TGAGGTGGTCAGTGAGTGGGGTGGTCGGAGGGTGAGGTGGTCAGTGAGTGAGGTGGTTGGAGAGTGAGGTGGATAGTGAGCGAGGTGATCGGGGGTCTTGTTGTATCAGGTCTGATGGGGTAGTTAGGTAGTCAACAGGAGGGTAATTGGGTCAGGTCAGGGGATAATTAGTTGGTTGTGGGGTAGTCAGGTTGGGTTGAGGGCAATATTCGGGTCATCAGTGTAACTGATTGGGGCATCAGTTATTTAATTATCCTGAAATTAGACCAGTTTTAAATCTGTCTAACATTTCCTGTGTAACTACTCAGGCAGATACATCAGGACGGTCCCAGGCTTACAATTCTAATGTGGGTGGATCCAGGGAGTTGGGGAATTGCCCAACGGAAGTTTAAAATTCTAGCACAATGCCCGTATAGTTCAATGTGTCAGGACATTCACAGTGTCCTGAAGGCCTATCAGTCATACATCTGGTCTCCAACGATCCAAGACAAAGATCTGGGCTTCCACTTTGGAGTTCAATTGCAGCAATTGGAGTTTGATGCTTTTCTCTTCAAGTGTTGTTAATATTAAGGCATTTTATGAACTTATGAAAGATTCCTGATGGAATGAGGCTGATGATGACTGGTAATTGAAAAGGTCAAATTTCACTCTTGCTTTATTAGAGTCATAGAGTTATACAGCACGGAAACAGACCCTTCAGTCCAACTCCACTGCGCCGACCACACATCCCAATCTGACGTGGTCACATTTGCCAGCATTTGGCCCATATCTGTTCATATACCCATCCAGATCCCTTTTAAATGTTGTAATTGTACCCACCTCCACCACTTCCTCTGGCAGCTCATTGCATACACGCACCACCCTCTATGTGAAAAAGCTGCCCTTCAGGTCCCTTTTAAGTCTATCCCCTCTCGCCTTAAACCTATGTCCTCTAGTTATGGACTCCCCCACCCTTGGCTATTCATTCTATCTATGCCCTTCATAATTTTAAAAAAACTTCTATAAGGTCACTCCTCAGACTCGGATGCTCCAGGGTAAAAAGCCCCAACCTATTCAGTGTGGAGCTGGAGGAACACAGTAGACCAGGTAGCATCGGAGGAGCAGGAAAGTTCACGTTTCGGGTAGGGACCCTTCTTCTCAGCCTTTCTCTATAGTTCAAACCATCTAATTCCAGCAACATGCTTGTAAATCTAAGGCCACTAAGCCCATCCAGCCTATTGTCTTCAACGTACCACCAATGTCCTTACACTGTTCCTACTAATCTGATCCAAATTTCCTGAGCAAACCAATGCCAAACCAAACACACTTCATGACGTTCACTTGAAAACATAGAAGTTTCTGTTGTCCAAGACCTTTGTCTATCCCTATAACCTGCAGCAACATCTCTGTTTAAGGGAGCATTAATTGAAATGTTGACTTAAGGTGATTGTGTAGCATTACCAATATTGGTTCAGTTTTGCTGTTGTGTATCTCTCCCTATTTCCATTGATTTCGGTGGAAGTGAGACAGGGGAGAGTAGGGTCCTGGATATCTTGAACCAGCAATTATACGGTAACGCCAATGTCCAGTCTCTCTATTGTGCCAACCATCGGTTGAACACAAGTGTACCCATGAGCAAATTGCCCTGTGGCTGTTACCTTGGCAGCAGCTGTGACAGCGGCAGTCGCTGCCACATTCAGTCCACGCCTTCCAAACTGCATCACAGCTTCATAGCTCCGATCCTTGGCTTGGCTCAAATAGTCATCAATCTCCTGTGATGAAGAGAAGGGAACGTCTGAGAAAACATTACTGATTGGGACAACAGTAAGTGGTTTACTCGTGCTGATGTGACGTTAAGCAACCCTGTTTATCTCTCTCCCCTCTGAAAAATGGGTAGATTTAGTTCAGGCGTTTTGGACCAGTCTACCAGTTTTTGGCCAAGATTGCTGCTGCAACATCTCTGCATGAAGTTGCAGGAGAGTTAATCTGTTCATCTGCCCAACCTGCCCAACCAATTCACTTGAGGCAGTATCCAATTCACGCATTGACAGATTTGAGGCTCAATGAACATTCAGGGCTCCAAATTGCTCACCGTACCACATAAAGATTCTAGGCCCTGATCCCACTCACTCTTAAAGAGCTTTCTGACATTGTATTCCACTCCCCATATGAAGAATTCAGTCCCCAATCCACTTGAAGAATCGAGCACTTGTTAAATCATTCACCGATTGGAAAATCATAGTGCATTATTTTTCAAAGCAGTTCACCCATTCCTCCTCAGTGGAACAGCCAGAGAAACCCTGAAGGAATGGACATGACCTACAATTATGGTGGATAACACCCATGGAGGTTCTAACCCTAAATCCCATCCTATGGAAACTTGAGGATAACACAGAGCATGCTGGAGAAACTCAGCAGGTCTGGCAGTATCTATGGAGAGAGAAACAGAGTTACTGTTTCCAAACCAGTATGATTCATCTTCGTACTGGACTCAAAACCTTAACTCTGTTTCTCTCTCCACAGATTCTGCCAAACCAGCTGAGCTTCTCCAGAATTCTCTGTGTTTGTTTCAGATTTCCTGCATCTGCAGTATTTTGCTTTTATTCAGAAATGTGAGGATGTTCACTGTGGTGCAGCATAGAGTCATTTACAGGACAGAAATTATGGTGGGGTGGCACGGTGGTTAGCACTGCTGCCTCGCAGTGCCAGGGACCCAGGGTCAGTTCCACGCTTGGGTGACTGTGTGGAGTTTGCACATTCTCCCCATGTCTGTGTGGGTTTCCTCCCACAGTCCAAAGATGTGTAGGCTAGGTGGATTGGCCATGCTAAATTGCCCGTAGCGCTCAGGGATGTGTAGATTAGGTGGGTTACGGGGGATGGGTTTGGGTGGGTGCTCTGAGGGTTGGTTTGGACTTGTTGGGCTGAAGGGCCTGTTTCCACACTGTAGGGATTCTATGATTTGTGATCTATGAAGTAGGTCATTTGGCTTATCATGTCCATGTTGCCTCTCCACAAATCAGTGTCCCACTTAATCATCAAGCAAAATAAACATGTCACTCAGCTACTGGGCAACACAACTATAATAACACTAAGGGTTTACAACAGGAACACAGCATGTTATTGTATATCAGGTGCCATGACCCAAGTCACATGGTCTAAAGACTTTAATATAGATCTGTATGTTTGACACAAGTGTGCTAGAAATGGAAATCATTATAATTCCAGGCCAGCAATAGTATTTGCACTGGGTGAAAATCTGACTCTTTTGTAGAAATAGTTGACTTGTTTATTTGATGGTTTTCTTCTGACTGTTCTCAACAGACGTTCTTACAATTGTGTGGTCATGCTTCTCCAGACTAATTTTAGATTTGGCAGCCTAAGGCTAGTAAACATATAACTGTTTAACTCTCAGCAGCTGTCAACAAGTTGAAGTGATATCTGGACTATATATGACATCTTTTAACCTTGCCTAGCTGGCCTTGAACCAGTATTCTGAGAATAGATAGGTTTAAGTCTTTACAAGAATAATATGTCAGACTGAGAGCCGGTAACTTCTAATAGAAGCAGCAATATTAACCAGATCAACACAGAAAAATCTAAGTTCAATATTTCTCCTTCTGTTTCTGAAACATGCCTGATCTTTACCAGCATTCAGTCCTCTGATAAATTGATCAGGATCTTTTTCTAACCTGCTCCAGCAACTATTAAATACGTCCAGACTTAAAGTGAGTTGAATAAAATCTTGGAATTCTGTTCAGCTTGGAGATATGTTTTGAGTTCCTTACCCCGTTCATGAACAAGAACAGTTTTTATACCTCACAACATTGCCATGTACATTTAAGGCTAAAAGGAAATGGCTAGATCAATATTTTCACCTTGTTTGTTTACTAAACAAATAATGGAAATAGGGCACTGTTCTGGGCTGTATGTTTATGATAACATTGCTTTATGCTTACAATCTAGTTTCTATATGTGATTTAAGTGTGGACAAACACTGTAACATTCTGGTCTGGCATGCTGTTATTTATGTTTGAATTCACATGAATCCTATGCTAAAGTGTAATTTCCAGAAATTCTTCACATTGATAAAGACAGTAGAACCTGCACCCCTTTCTTTCCAAGGCTGACAGATGATCAATCTGAGTTTGCTGATAATGCTGAGTCCATAAGGAGAACCTGCTCCTGTCAGTGCAGTTATTTTAATTGACCTGCTCATGTATGTTACAATATACCTTCAGAACAGGTAGAACCTGAACCTGGGCCAAGGGTAGGAGCACAACCACTGCACTATGCAGGCTCAGCACAAACCCAATACAGACACAGGGCGAACATGAAAACTTGACACAGACTCCAACCTGAGGCTGGAATCGAACCCAGGTCCTTGACACTGTAAGGCAGCACAGCTAACCACTGAGCCACTATGCTGACCGACTGTTGTCAGGGGCACCAGAGGTCATCAATTCAAGGAAATTGGCAAAGGAGGCAATGCTGGAAGTAGTTATGAAAACCATTGTAGGCAGGAAGTGGTTAGGATCAGAAATGCATTGCCTGGCAGTGTGATGGAGACTGATTAAATGGAACTTCAACTAAAGCAAATGAGATAACTATCTGAAACAAAAATTAGGGAAAAAGACAAGGAGTAGGAGAGCTGCTCTTGCAAACATGGTCACAGTGGGCTGACTCGCCTTGTTTTGTGCTGCACCTATTCCATGATGATTTGATAATTAGAGTGTTTTGAGGTACCCAGCTGTAAAAGAATATCAAAGGCAGAATTTTACAGGCCTCTTCTCAAATCTCCCAGATCTGGTTGCAAGCTGACTCAGATCTGGGTGGGGGGAAGTGTGAATTGAAATCAGGTGCTCTCTCCAAGGTCTGGGCCTCCATGGTTTCTCCTTTTTAAATTGATCTTCATGGTCTTCTTCAAGACCAACTGGTCTTCAAAGCACAGCTCCACATGGTCTCATCACCCTCCCTTCCCCCAACATGCTGGGTCTCCCTTTCCTTTCTCACCACAAGACCCTACACCTTTTTCCATCCTGTGGCTTGTAGTTCCAGCCATCACCACCAATCCTGGTAGCGCTGCTGAGATTACAAAGTTGTCAGCCAATCTGATTGGCCAGCAGCTGTCTTGGACGAGAGATCTATGCAAGTGAGCAATGGAAAGGCAGTCTCCAAACGACTTAACGTTCCTTGTGCATCCCTGATCTCTTCTGTGCTGGAACTGGGAACAAATCTCTGCCACAGTACTCAATGGAGTTGAGGAGAAGAGGACCTTACCTTTGAATAACTGAAGATGTTTGCTACTAGAGAAATGAGAGAGCTAGAAACACCCTACTCTACTCTGTATATAAGCTTGTATCTGTTTGATTCATCATATCTGGCTAATCCATGTTTGAATGTGAAGGAGGAATTTGCACAAATTGCTGCGCAGAGTGTTTAAGCAAAATAATGTTAACCCTGGCCGACTCATACAGTGAATTATGGAAAATGAACAACTCCTCCATTCAGACTTCAACACCACATGAATACTTTGTGCAGTTTTGGTCTCCTTATTTATGGAAGGATATCAATGAGTCAGAGGTGGTTCAGAGGAGGTTTACTACATTGATACTTGGAAAGACAGGGTTGATTTTTGTTGAAAAAATAGATCGACTAGACTAGTTTTCACTAGAGCTTAGCAGAATGATGGGTGATCCGATTGAAGTATATGAGACCCTAAATGGTCTTGACAAGGTGGACACGGAGAGGATACTTAGTTTTGTGGGTGAGTCCAGAATTGGGAACACTGTCTTAAAATGGGGTGTCACCTTTTTAGGTAGAGATGAGAAGAAATTTGTTTCTGTTACAGGATTATGTACTTTTGGAACCCTGCCTCAGGTTAGATGGGTGAAGAACATTCCCGATATTGGGGAAGTCCAGAACTTGAGGTCACAGTCTAAGAATAAGGGGTAAGCCATTCAGGACTGAGAGGGGGAAGAATTCCTTCACTCAGAGAGTTGAGAACCAGTGGAATTCTCTGCCACAGAAAGCTGTTGGGGCCAGTTCATTAGATATATTCAAGAGGGAGCTGGACGTGGCCCTTGAGGCTAAAGGGATCAAGGGGCATAGAGAGAAAGCGGGAGTGGGATACTGAAATTGCATCATCAACCATGATTGTACTGAATGGTGGTGCAGGCGCAAAGGGCCGAATGGCCTACTCCTGCAACTATTTTTTACGTTTCTATGTTTCTACATGTTTGTAACCAGTGCAAGCCCTTTAGGACCCTGATGAAGTGCAGAAAGCTGAATAGAGTTGAGAACAAGTCACAAACCACACCTTGTGAAAAACCCAGTGCAGGAGATTCATGGCTTTGATCAGCCTGGGCCAGCCTATACCACATCTTCACAAACCAATGTCAATACAGATACCCAATACACAAATGGAAAATTAAAAACTCTGCAGTCTGAGAACCTAGAACAACTCAATGTCAGTCTCATAAATATGAAGGAGACATTGCACTCTATTACTGGGCCCGAATGACATGGCTTGCTCTCAGGGGATGTTTATGTTTTTGAAAGGAATTGACTGGGTGGCTAGACAGAACTATTTCCTATGCTGTGGAATTCCAGAATATGGAAGCATAAGCGTGAAAAAAGTGCTGTCGATGCTAGGTCATCCGAAAATTTCAAAACTGTGATCGATAGGTTTTAGTAGGTGAGGGTATAAAGAGTTATGGATCCAAAGATGTGGGTAAGATCTAATTGACAAACATAACAGGTTCATGGGGCTGAATGGCCTACTCCCATTCCTCTGAGTCTAGTAGAAATTTTCAGCGAGAAAGGCAGTGCTTAAAGGTCCAGCTTAATAACTTAATTAACCAAATGTGTTGTAAACATAGTTATGTCATAACTTTTCTCACCTGCTCTTTGGAAGAGAGAGTTGGATGTACAAACTTCCTGTAGAGAACGCTGGAGCCTTTTGTGTAAGGGGAGAGCAGCCAAATAACAAATGCAATTTTAAGTTCATAATAAAATGGAAACCTGTGGGGACAAACAGAGGAGCATCTTGTGATGTACAGTCCACACACAACCAGACCAGCTTGCAAAACATTGCAAAACAGAAAGAAATAAACAGACGACCTTCAAGCAAAGTTAGATGCTTGCTATTTTAGCCCAATCTCACATTGATACACTCTCAAGGGTATGTTTAACCCTGAGTGGGTTTCATGTGGACAAGAGAATGGGGAAAATAAACATCCCCATTAGCAGAATCAGCAGGCTGTGGTCAATGGCCTGCCCAATACTCACTTTGAATAATGTAGGTTGAATAATGACAGGCAGCATAGATTCGTACAAGGTAAATTGCTTGATCAACGGAGCAGATTGAAGCAGTAGAGTGGACTGACAAAAGAAGTGTAGTGATTGATGCTCAAGATGCTACATAGAAAGCTTGTTGGTTTAAAAAGAGTGAACTCATATTAAGGGGAAAGTGGCATGATAGGAAATTGTTTAAAGGGCAGAAAACACCGAGCAACAGTTAATGATGTTTTCAGACTGAAGGGATATAAACATTAGGGTGCCCTGGGATCAAGTGCAACAGTGCTCTTCTTAATCTTCATGTGTAAATGAACTGGACTTTGGTTTCAGGACATAATATCAATATTTGCACATGGCACAAAGTAGGGGATGTGTATAACTAACCGTGGAGAAACTGTAGGCGGCTTCAGAAGGACATAGGTTACAGGCAAACAAACAACAAATTAAATTTAGCAAAGAGAAATGTTAGCTGTCACACTTTAAGAAATATATCCAAATTGATAAAACTTTACAAGGTTATAAAAGCAAAAAGTGTCTCGCAGACAAACAAATCTTTAAACATAGCAGCATAAGTTGATAACGCTGCAAAAAAGAAACATATATTTCTGCTATGTTTAATAAATATGGATATCAAATATATACAGAAAGAGGTAATGCTATCAATCTTTGTTGGATGGAATATTTTGGTGGGCACTTTTGGAAAAATGTCATGTCCACAGGAAAGATTCACCAGGATAGGACAATGGACCAAAAGCTTTAATATTAGAACAGACTAAGGAAATTGGGATATTTATCATTATTAGCAAATAAAACAATTTCCAAAGGACAAGAAAAGAGGGCAGGACAGTGGAGTTGAGGTATAAGGTCAGTCATGAAGCTATTGAATGATGGAAACCAAAAGAACTGCAGATGCTATAAATCAGGAAGGGTCACCGGACCCAAAACATTAACTCTGTTTTCTCCTTCACAGATGCTGCCAGACCTGCTGAGCTTTTCCAGCAACTTTGTTTTTGTATTGAATGATGGAGCTGGCCTGAGCAGCCATATGACTTAATCCTATTCCTTATGTTTAAATTAAGTTTAACAGAAGGAGATGCAGGTCAAATACTGTATCATTAGCTTGTTTTTTCTATTTCCCACTTCAAGCATCCCCAGGATCTGTATATATTACATTAGCAATGGGTAATAAACATAAAGTTTTGTTCTGCAGCGCCCTACCTGGAGCTGATTGGCACTGTCCAAATTCATTTCACTTTGGAATCTTACAGCAAGTAGATATTCAACCCATCATCCTGTGCTAATTTGGACTCTGATCCCAGGAGTGAAGGGCAAGATCTAACCATACTTTTGAGATATTTTATACAATTAACCTGTTCTGAGATGTTATTACACACCTCTAGAGCAGGTGGGCCTTGAACCCTCCTGCTCCAGAAATAGAGACACTACCACAACATCAAGGACACCTACAGGGCACAAGTCAGGTGTGTGATGGATTTGCCTGGATGGGTGCAATTCCGACAACAACCAAGAAGTTTGATACCATCGAAGATAAAGCAGTCCACTGAATTGGCACCACATCCACAAAAGCTCAGTAGCAGCATTGTGTACCATCTACAAGATGGACTGCAGAAATTCACCAAGGCTCCTTCAACAACACTTCAGAATGACAACCTAGGTCCAAGACTCTTACTTTTGCTTCAGTCTTTGGGATGAGATGTTAAACTGAGGGCCTGCCTGTCCATTCAGATGGATGATTAAGATTCCACAGCACTATTTTATAAATCATGAGATCACAAGGTCATTGAGCCAGCTCCATCATTCAATACAATCATAGCTAATATGATTGTGGCATTAATAGAACTTTCCTGTCTGCCCACCATAACCCCTGACTACTTTGTTAATAACAAACTCTACTTGGTCTTGAGTATATTCAATGACACAGCCTCCAACGCCCTTTATGGAAGAGAATTTCAAAGACTAAGAGAAAATAAATTCTTTCTCATCTCTATCTTAAATCGGTGGTGCCTTAGTTTTAAACAGTGTGCCCTAATTCTAATTTCTGCCAAGAGGGAAAACATCTCTGATCATCAAACCGGTCAAGCCCCTGGTATGAACTGCCTGTAGAACGCGCAAAACAACACTTTTCACTGTATCCCAGTACTTGTGACAACAATAACTCAAACTCAAAAGATCACCTCTGCTTTATCTAAACAGTAATGAATATAGAGTCACAGAGTCATATAGCATGGAAACAGACCCTTCGGTCCAAATAGTCCACGCTGACCATGTTACCAAACTAAACTAGTCCCACCTGCCTGCGTTTAGCCTATATCCCTCCAAATCTTTCCTATTCATGTACTTAGCCAAATATCTTTTAACCGCTGTAACTGTATCTGCATCCATCACTTCCTCTGACAGTTCATTCCACACACGAACCATCCTCTGTATAAAAAAGTTGCCCCTCATGGCCTTTATAAATCTTTCTCCTCTCACCTTAAAAATACACCCCTGGTTTGAACTCCCCCACCCTAGGGAGAAGACCCTTGTCATTCACCTTATCCATGCCCCTCATGATTTATTAAACCTCAATAAGGTCAGCCCTTAACTTCCTACACTCCAGTGAAAAGATTCCCAGCATATCCAGAAATTTTTATAACTCAAACCCTCCACTCCCAGCAACATCCTGATAAATCATTTCTGAACCCTCTCCAATTTAATAATATCCTTCCTATAACAGGGCAACCAGAACTGCACAGAGTACTTCAGAAGAGGTCTCACCAATGTCCTGTACAATCTCAACATGATGTCCCAAATCAGCCAATAATTATCCCTTAAACACATCACAAAAGTAGATTATCACATTATCACATGTCATTATCACATTTCTGTTGCTTTTCTTGCAGTACAACAGTGGCTACTATTCAACAGTAAATCACTGGATGCAAAGTGTTTTGCAATATCCTGTAGACATGAGAGGTGCTATATTAATGCAACTTTTACTTTTCTTTTTTGGTCAGGCTGCACTAGTTGCTGAAGCTTTCTAGCCAGGAACTTTACTGTCCACCAGTATTTCAACCACTCCTGTAAAAGCAGATTGGATCACTACACTGTGAGTTGGATTTATTTCTTAAAACAAAATGTGCTGTCTATTGGACGCAACAAAAATCAAATTTAGTGCTGAGGTTTGTTATTAGTGCTTCATAAGCAGTGCAGAGGTCTATATATTTCACCACTGGCACATGACACATTTCCACAATCTGTGCTGGATTACAACAATAAAACAATACTGTGCCTTACCAGGAAAGAAACAGATCTGTGAAGGTTTCTGCCGTGGTGAACAGTGCAAATATAATCCAGTACATCATCCATTTTACCTGGTTCGAGAAATAATAAAAAAAAAATTGATAAAGCTACATTTTGCCAAACATACAAAAACAGAAGTGGAATTTGTGCCACAAACTGTTCTAAACATTAGTAAGTCAGATACCCATGACCTTTCTTAATGCATTTAGGCAAAATGGGAGCTATTGATACAGTCATCCTTTAATACCCAACCCTAATAGGCCTTGAGAGATCGGTAGTGAACTGCCTTATGAACCACACCGGTCTATTCTGTGAAGATGCTCTCAGAGAACAATTGAGAAAAGGCAGTTCCAGGACTTTGGCACACCAACAATGAAAGATCAGTGATATAATTCAGATTCAGGATGTTCACATGGAGGGAACCTGCTTCCCTGCAGCTTCTGTTCTTGTCCTTCTATATGATAGAGCTTGCATGTTTGAGAGGCTAACATGTGTTCAGCATAAAATTGATCGGAAAATAGTGACAGGATCGAACAGAGACAACATGAATTTATGGAAGGGAAACTGTACTTGACAAATCTACTTGAATATTTCAAGGGTGCAACTTGTAGAATTAATAAGGAGGATCCAGTGGATGTGGTTTATTGGACTTTCTGAAAGCTTTTGGTAAGATCCCCATATAAAAGATTAGCATTTAAAACTAACAGGATTGGGATAGTGTACTGACATAGATAGAGATAACAAGGTGTAGAGCTGGATGAACACAGCAGGCCAAGCAGCATCAGAGGAGCAGAAAGGCTGACGTTTCGGGCCGAGACCCTTCTTCTGAAGATATCTCTGGATATCTCAGACTCCAGCATCGGCAGTTCTTACTATCTCTCGCCATAATTCACAATACTCTTTAACTACAGCATCACAGGAGCATAGAACCTCTACAGCACAGGAAAAGGCCATTTGGCCTTAGCTCCTACTCTGACTATCCAAAGTAACAATTTATCTAGTGCTACTCCCCAGCCTTCTGCCCATATCTGAGCAATATTCATCTTTTTCAGATAATTGTCCAATTCCTTCTTAAGTGGCTACACCAGACCTGAACTATTCGCTGTGTGAAAGAGTCACTTTTCATGTCTTCACTGCTCCCTTTGCCAATTTCCTTAAATGAGTGCTCTCTAATGTTCAATCCTTCCACCAACTCCTATGATCTTCCAAACTGTTTTTCCCTATCTACTCCATTCGGGCCTCTCAATGATTTGGAACACCTCAATCAAATCTGCTCTCAACTTCCTTTTCTGTGAGAGAACAGTCACAATGTCTCCAAACTATCTATGTAACTGAAGTACCCCTTTTCTGGAACCTTCTCGTGAATTTTTCTGCAATTACTTTTTAAAACCTTCACATCTTTCTGAAAATGTGGTACCAAGAACTGGACACAATTCTCCAGTTGAGGCTGAGCCAGTGTTCCATACTAGTCTGGTATAACTTTCTTGTCTTTGTACACCATTCCAACCACAAAATGCCTTAGCAACTCCCTATGGCTTCTTCAACAGTGCCTTCCAAAATGTGTGACATCTGCACTCTATGAGGAAAGGAATAGCAGATGCATGGGAACAGCATCTCATGTATGTTCCCCTTGAAGCCACCAGCTATCCTCACTAAGAACAATATCATCATTCCTTCAGTGATGCTTGGTCAAAATGCTGGAACTGTCTTCCTAATAGTGCTGTGGGGATAACAAAGCCCCTGGATAGCAGCGATTCAAGGGGACAGCTCACCACCACCCTCTCAAAGGCAACTAGAGATGGACATTAAATGATGACAGAAATGCTTAAATCCCATAAACTAATCTGAATATTTAACTGTTCAAAGTTTAAATTGCATGTCAGGATTCCACCAAGATGATAGCCTCACCTTGACTATTCATCATCTCGCTAATTTGCAGCTAAGGATTTTCCAGATCACTGCTATAAGGGATGCATAGCTAAGCCATGGGAGAAACAGTTCTGTAAGGTGAGTTGGAAGCAGGGGCTTGGCACTTTAACATTGCACCTGGTGCCTCCTGCCCTTCACAACCCCCACCTCATCCCAGTAAGTCTCCCACCAGCTGCCTTATGTCCTCGTGTTCAAGTCTGTCCCTTTTCCTGCAGGTGAAATAGTCTTTAGTGAAGCCCTCACAGATGCCAAAATCTGTACGATTTCAGCATTCAGTACCGAGGAATGAACAGTTCACCTCTTGCTCTGCTGATAGCACAGGGGCTGCAGGATATAGAAGTGTTAAGAAAATGCAGAGAAAGATTCGTAATTGCTTAAAGGTAAATTACATAATGTTAGAACATTAAACTTCGGTTTTGTTTGGAGCGCATACATATTATTTATTTCTACTACAACACAGAACATAGAACATAGAACGGTACAGCACAGGATGAGCTCTTTGGCCCACGATGTTGTGCCGAACATGACGCCAAATTAAACTAATCTCTTCTGCCTGCCCTTGGTCCATATCCCTCCAATCCTTGCATATTCATGTGCTTATCTAAAAGTTTCTTAAATGGCCCTATCACATCTGCCTCTACCACCACCCCTGGCAGCGTGTTTCAGACTCCTACCACTCTCTGTGTAAAAAACGTGCCCCTTACATCTCCTTTGAACTTTTCCCTTCTCACCTTAAATGCATGCCCCCTAGTTTTAGACATTTCAACTCTGGCAAAATGATTCTGACTATAACCCAATCTCATAATTTTACAGACTTCTATCAAGTCTTCCCTCAGCTTCCGCCGCTCCAGAGAAAACAACCCGAGTTGCTGTGTTTCTCCAGCTCCACTCTGTGTTATCTCTGACTACTGTGTTCCTCCGGCTCCACACTGTATTATCTCTATGGTGTTCCTCCAGCTCCACACTGTGTTATCTCTGACTACTTGTTCCTCCGGCTCCACACTGTGTTATCCCTACTGTGTTCCTCCAGCTCCACACTGTATTATCTCTGATGCTGTGTTCCTCCAGCTCCACACTGTGTTATCTCTGACTCTAGCATTGGCAGTTCTTACTATCTCCGAGTTTTTCTAGCCTCTCCTTATAGCTCATACCGTCTAATCCAGACAGCATCCTGGTAAACCTCTTCTGCGCACTCTCCAAAGCCTTCACATCCTTCCTGTAATGTGGCTACCAGAACTGAATGCAATATTCTAACTGTGGCCTTACCAAAGTCTTATAAAGTTGCAACATGACATCCTGACTCTTGTACTCAATTCCCCAACTAATAAAGGTAAGTATGCCATATACCTCTTTATCAACCTATGTACTTAGAACACAGAACAGCACAGCACAGTACAGGCCCTTCGGCCCACGACATTGTGCTGAACTTTAACCCTAAACCTAAGGTCTATCTAACCTCCACCGCTACTATCATCCATATGCCTATCTAATAGCCGCTTAAATGCCCCTAATGAGGCCGACTCCACTACACTCTCCGGCAATGCATTCCATGCCCCTACCACTCTCTGAGTAAAGAACCTACTTCTGACGTCTCCCCGATATCTACCTTCTTTCACTTTAAAACTATGTCCCCTCGTAAAAGCTACCTCCACCCTAGGAAAAAGTCTCTGGCTGTCTACTCTATCTATACCTCTGATCATTTTGTACACCTCTATCAAATCACTTGTGTGACCACTTTCAGGGACCTATAGATTTGAACCCCAGGATCCCTCTGCACATCGTGCTGTTCAAAGTCCTGCCATTAACATAGAATCCCTACAGTGTGGAAACAAGCCCTTCAGCCCAACAAGTCCACATCGACCCTTGGAGCATCCCACCCAGACCCATCCCCCTATAACCCACACACCCCTGAACACTACGGGCAATTTAGCATGGCCAATCCACCTAGCCTGCATCTTTGGACTGTGGGAGGAAACCCACGCAGATACGGGGAGAATTTGCAAACTCCACACAGACAGTCACCTGAGGCTGGAATCGAACCTGGGTCCCTGGCTCTGTGAGGCTGCAGTGCTAACCACTGAACCACTGTGCCGCCCCAACTGTATACTATAACTGTACACTTTTCCTTAACATATGATCTCCCAAAGTGCAGCACCTCACACTTACCCAGAATAAACTCCATCTGCCATTTCTCAGCCCACATCTGCAACTGATCTATATCCTGCTGCATTCTTTGACAACCTTCTACACTATCCACAACTCCATTGATCTTTGTATTGTCTGCAAACTTACTAACCCACCCATCTACATTTTCATCCAAGTCATTTATGTAGATCACAAACAGCAGAGGTCCCAGTACGGATCCCTGCGGAACACCACTAGTCATCGACCTCCAGCCTGAAAAACACCCTTCCACCACTACCCTCTGCCTTCTATGGTCAAGCCAATTCTGAATCCACGCAACTAGGTAGACAACATCCGCTTCTCAACTCTCATCGATCACCTTTGTCATCTCCTTGAAAAATTCAATCGAGTTAGTAAGACATGACCTGCCCTGCACAAAGCCATGCTGACTGTCCCTAACTAGGGCATGTTTTTCCAAATGCATGTAAATCCTATCCCTAAGAATTCTTTCCAATAGCTTCCCAACCACCAATGTGAGACTCACTGATCTATAGTTTCCTGGATTGTCCCTATTTCCCCAAGTTCCCATTTTGATTGCTACTTGACATGTGATTGTCTCAGTTATGATGAATAGTAAGACAGGAACTGACACCAAGACCTGGGGACGGCTTCTTTATAGTATTCTTAATTCGAGCTGTAGGAGGGACTAGTGGCTTTAGCATGTACTTTTCAGATGGTGGATTGATGGAACCTAAGTGATGCTCAAGTAATAGTGAGGGCATTGAGGTGACCAATGGTAGTTTGAGTGCCATTATTAGTGCTTTGACCACATCAGGTTTTGCCTCTGCCTAGGGACGGTCTGAGGAGGTTGTGCGCTCTGTGTCTTGTTCCTCCTACACACCTCAACATGATGCTGAACAAAGCACAGTACAATCCTGGAGACCCAGGTCTGTGCAGGAAGCCGAAAACTTGCTCAGTCATTCACCTGGCTGGCAAGGAGCTGTCCTTGCAA